GTAAAATACTATAATAAAGTATTTACTCTCAATATATTTTGTTAAAATATATTACTCAATATATAAAGCTATTATAATACATATACTGTATTATATTCATTAATAATACTTTTAGAACCTTTATAAGAGTATATAAGACTTGTTTTTACTTTATAATAGAGTTAAATACTTATAATTACAATAAAACAGATAAATAATGTGTATTTTATTATATAAGATCTATAAAGCTATATAAGAAAATGGACTTTTCCCTGACGAGGCAGGTCGGAAGGCCCATCTGAACACAGAAGTGATACGTTGATAATTCCTGTTGTAGTTTGCACATTGTTTATTGAGGATATGTAGCGGTATGCTCCACCAGCGCCCTCTGTCAAGTCGCTTTCCCTCGACTCCGAACTTTCCTGAATGAATACCTCATCTTCTAAGGACGATGTGCAGCACATTGTGAGTCTCAAGCCTTCTGCAATGCAGAAGAATGTGTCATGCAACTCATAAATTTGTTGATACTCATGTATTACCCGCGCAATCACCAAGGCCTCGAGCTAGTACAAGCACTTGTTACGAAAGGCAAGGCACACATTGACATAGAAGGGCAGGATGCAACTGAAATTCGAATTTATACTAAATATACAATCCAAAGAACAGGTCTAGACCACCTTATGAAAAGAAAAAACACGGTTTCCAGTTGAAAAAATATCTACATAATACCAAAGCAATAAAGGAGACTAAGAGGGGAGAAAGGATACAGGGATCTCATTTTCCAGTCCGGCAGCACCCGAGGAAGAAATTAAAGTACAACCACCTTTTCTCTTTAGGCAGCAAGGCATTGTGAGTAGTAGGGGTTGATGACTGTGCAAACGAATGGAGAGGCGCTATATCGTCAAGTAATTAATCAAAGAACATGAACTACTAGTGCCATGTTGCAACGTACCAGGTCGTGGGGCCAGTGAATCCAGTACCACCACACTGAGCATACTGAGCAGCACCCGCACTAGATCCAGCCGTTTGAGTTGGGGCGGCTGGCGTCTGCAAACAGGTCAGCGTTAGTGCACAAAGAAAGACGAAGGAAGGTCGACACGTACTGAGGCGACAGAGGTTGTGGGAGCTGGTGCGGAAGACGATGGAGCTGGTGCAGGTGCCGATCCACTGCTCGCACTTCCGTACAGGGGCGGTCCAGGGATAACATATGTCGTCTGTGTCTGTGCCGCGTTAGTGTAAACGTCGATGTTCACTATATTGAAGTGAGTACGATGTAGTACGAGATGAAGACGATGGTTCTTACCACCCGGGTCGTTGTTGCTGTATGCACCAGGGAACTTGACCTATAACGTTTGAAGCAACAGGTCAGATGCTGATTGGATAGCACTGGTGGGTCGGTCACATACAAGCTCAGCGGAGGTCGGTTGAAGGTTTCCACCGCCCGTGATTTCAATCTGCGCACATCTGAGACGATAAAATCAGCTCATGCTCGAATTACACCCATGAAGAGCTATCTTACTCAGGGTAGAATTGCTAGATAGTATTAGGATTAGTCAAGTACGAAGCAAGTTGAAGTAAATGGACGTACAGCCGGCATCGAGTGCAGAGCAATAGTCTCAAAACGGATAAGATAGTTTCCGGACGGAACAGAGGCGGGGACTGTCGTCGTCCACGAGCTGTTCTGGGCAATCATCTGTCCTGAGCCCCATTGACCGTCATAAACAGTTCCGGAAAGAAGGCCGGCTTCGTCAATTTTGAACTGGCAGTTCAAACAAATTAGACGACTTTTCGGGCGATGCGGTTGAAATGAGGCTCACCCATTCAAGAGATCCTGCGTTTACTCCAGTGCAAGTCGATCCAGGACATTGCGCAAGGTACGTGAGCATTGGTCCGATATTGTGGGGCCACACTGACATGAAACTTGTTGGGACGAATAATTCGATGCATAGAGGGACAAATACCAACCTTGGTTCCAGTATGCGGTGATGGGTGTACCAGCCGCGACGCTCGCAGTCAGCTGCAGAGCACCCGAGCTGCCATCATCATTGCAAGCAATGGTCGGATCCGTTGCATCAGTAATTGGGTTGCTGAAAACAAATATACAATTGTTAAATAGGATGTGATAAAGAGTCGGCTATCCAGACTTACTATGTGGACCAGGGGCGTTGAATGGTCGTCTGGCCAGTAGGACTTCACAAAGGTCGACCATAAGATCCAGGTAGAATGAAAGAACTTCTGTAATACGGACCTGTTGTATGGCTGCCATCCAAAGTACCACTGTCCGTCCCAGCTGTACTCAAGTACACCACCGTGTGCGGCAACCTGGGTCACAGCGATCGCTGCGAGAGTAGCAAGAGTAGAGATCATCGTATTTTCCTTTACTCTAGTCAAGGACTTTGCTGCTGACATCTAGTGAGTGTGTTTCTTTTATACTCAGAGTCTAGACTGTATTTTGAGCATGAAACATGCAGATCCGGTGCCGAGCCAGTGGCCAGCGGATAGAGAAGTAGCAAACGTCATGACAGTTCGGCACTGTGATGAGGACAGCCAATCCTGATATTGTGCAGGAGACGCTCATTGACAACCGCGTGACCATGTCGATTTTGCGGTTTTTCCAGGTGTATGAGGAGAGCATGAGCGTCGGTAAAAGCCACTTCCCTTTGCGATGAAATCTCGGGACCGGGAAATATGGGGTTTGGAGCGGAAGTTGTGTCAATATCAAATTGCTGGCACTCCTAAATGTATGTTCGTAAGTAATCGCGCTTTAAAGGGACCATGCTAAGAAATCTTACACACGTCTGGTACAACGGAAGGCCTTGACGGAAATTGAACATTATTCCGGCAATGGTATCTGTTTCCCCATGCTGGTGTACTTCAATTGCAGACTTGAAATAATTGAGAATAGTCCGTGAGTCTATTCTGATTGCAGTGCTATTGATAGGGCGGTAAATGAAGAGCCAGCGCATCGTCTTCGGTTTGTTGGAAGAATATCGGAATAGGAAAGGGCTGAACTTCGGTAACCCCGTCTCGTTTGTGCCTGATCACGTGCATATTTGTCCAGACTCCAGACACAACGAATGATGAGCTTCACCAGGATGCGTTTGGTTGATACACTTTACGTTTCTCATATTACAATTGGTGATGTGCAAATAGAGAGGCCTTAAACCAGGCATATGACGGACATGTTCCAAGAACAAGATTTAAGGCACCCGACAATGTTCCAAGCTGAACAATGGTTCATCAATGTTACCGACAATTACAAACCAACATGACTGTTTATACTTGGGCCAGACATTCGGGGGAAGTTCGAGACCTTGTTGAATATATGTCTGGGCCCAAAATTTTGACAGGGTCGTATGTCCCCCTCCTGCAGCCTAGCGTTCCGAACAGGTTGAGTCGATGCCATATTCGACTGTAGGAAATGGAGGTAACACAGAGGGAACAATACGTCAACCCGTGTCAGTCTTGCAAGGGCAAAGCAAAACAGAATCGTCAGTAGCAATGGCCAGAACTAATAGATACACCATTTACGGACAACAGTTGAAGCGCTCGTAGTCCTTGATACAGAGTGCCGAAATAAAGAAAGGCCTAGGCACGAGATATTCAAAATCACCCTGTGCTCTGTTAGTGAATTCAAGTCCGGCAAGAGTCGTTCCGTCATCGGGAAAGGCTTGGTAGAACGCACAGAAGACGCTCAAGTGATACGAAATGGCAAAGCAAAGCACAAAGACCTTGACATACTTGCATCTCAAGGTGTTACCGGTGCCAGCTGTGGAATGCGCAATGGAGCTTAAACATGGTCGTCTAGGTACAGATATTTCGGTATACTCCCCGTCAGTACTCTTCAGAAAAGGCAATAAAAACACCGGGGGTCTCGCATCAACATAATCCCAAGACATGACCCATGGCTCTGAACTTCCGGGAACGTCGTGCCGAGCCACCGATTCATAGTTCCCGAGGACATTATTTGCAAAAGAAAAGAGGGCGTGCGCTACAAAATTGAAGAAAGTATAGACAAGTCCAGAAAAGGAGCAAGCCTCTGACTTTTCCCGATAGACAGCAGTGTTTCGTTGTCGGAGTAGGAGTCCCCCCTAGAGTACGAGTGGAAACTCCCGAGAGCCTGTGGGAAACTAGTTTTACCACAGGTCATTTTGCTGGGCCTCTAGAGGCGTGGTAAACCTCGCGTGGACAACACTTAGTCAGTACATTAGTAATATCATTATAATGTTCCAAAAAGGAAATTTTTAAGAATTTTGTGCTGTACCTCTATTGAGCTGAAAATTTAGGTGTAATATTAATTTCAGACGTTGGTTATACTGCTGAGAGCAATTATATTGTGTTTTATAGTCTACCAGTGTTGAAACCTACATAATAAATAGATATATCTAAGAGAAATAAAAAGAAAGAGGCAACCAGTTACATTGATCAGGCTTTATTATTGTTCAAAATTTGTAAATCATCCAAAGAGGTACTGGAAATATTGTCCACATCTATCACTTGTACCTCTCTATTTTTATCAGAGTGTACTCCTTCAAATGAAGGAGTATCTGAAAGAATGTCAGGCAAAGTAGGAGATGTTGACCTAATAAAATGACAGACATAGAGTATATGCACTCTCAAACTATCTATTTTCCTTGCTTTTTGTCAGGTTGAGGCATTTTTCCTTAATTTATCTACTGACATAATATTATGTATGACTAATACATTTGAGTTTTCCACAGGCCAATTTCTGGCAACCCTTGTGGTAGTGAGGTTTACCTCGTGGGAAACCTCTGTGGTAATCCTCACTGTGGGAAACTAGGGAGTTTCCACTCATACTCTAGTCCCCCCAGACAAGGAGACTGAATGTAGTATTACATAATAATAATTTATGAATCACGTGCCGCTTATCATCAAAAAACTTTGAAGACGGAGCCTCAGAGGACTTTGAGTACTTTATGCTGCCCGTGTGTCGTGTATTCACCACTTCTTGCTATCTCAGACGTCTAGCAGCAACGCGCGTACGTGTGGTGCCCTCGGGGGAGCTTAAACTTGCACCCGTAACACAACTTCGTCCTATTTCCTTGCATTCATGTCGATTTTCGAGCTCCCCGCGCAGATGTGCCGAACAGAATCCAACTTCGCCGATATCACAAACAATTGTGCATAATGGACCTCTTGCACGAACGTTTCGATCGCTGAAGATATTCTCGCTTTCTTCTCTGGGACTTGCTACAGCCTTGACGCCCTTCATGTTTGTTATTGAAACGTCATTGCCCTTCGTCGCACGTATCGCACTTGCATCGACCGCGATGCTGACAAGTTCAGTATCTACAGCTCTTGTTGGCTGGTGTGGTCATCCGTACGTCTCTACGATTCGGACTCTCTCAGAGCAGCACCAATCGGACAGCGCAGAGGCGAAGGTTAATGGGATCCAACTTGAGACACTCACGCTGACTTTACGCCCACGTTATACGAACGTCTACGATACAGCATTTTTGACGGAAACGCGTCGTCCGTTTGCGAAATGGGAGCTGGCAAAGTGTATAACCCTCGAAAAACCGGTATTGGGCACACCCTCGGAAGAAACAGTGGCCGAGACGCTGGACGCACAAGGAAGAGTTTTGGGTCGATGGATCGTGTTTTGGAATGACGACCGCACGCGGGGAACGTGTTGGGGTGAAGGGAAGGTACAGAGGTATGCTTGTTCTTTGTAATCGTGCCTCTAGGAGTTGCAGTTTTGATACTTATTGTACAAGGTTCTTCAATGTACACGAGGAGATTCTTCCTCCCTTTATTAGATGATATATTTGATCTCCGGCCAATGCCTTACTTCACATGAATAGAGTCATTTTGGACGTATGATCCGTTTTCCCTCGCTCTCCAAGCAAACTCAGGGCTAGCTAGGTTTACGTCGAAAATCTTCACATTTCGAACAGGTGCTATGTACTTCTTGCATGAGGCAGTACATGGTACGTACACTTCGAATGCTTCTTCCCAATAGTGTGGGGCACAGAGCTTGTTTGACGCTCTGCTGCAGGCACTATTAATTGGAATATCTGGAACTTAGACACCATCGTTACGTGGGAAATGGAAGCCTCCAAGGACAGGAACACGGCCTTGTACACGTTTTTGTGATGTCTAACCTGTATTGATGCACTGCCCCACACTGTCTCGTCTTTGCTTTTCATTTCCGTCAAGCGAAGAAAGGAACGTACTGATCTGTGTACAGCCACCACCAGAAATATCAACCATTGATGTGCTCGTTCAATTTGACCTGCTTCCACTATGTGCTAGAATCCCCACACATGCTCTCTGAATGTCTCTGGTTCTCCTCACAAGCATGCAAGTCAAATGCTGCAAGAGATACAACTAGCATGCAATAGGGAGGAAGGCTATGCTTCATTGACGCCTATATCACATGAACCTCTAATAATAGCTACTGAATGAAGAACATGTGGCAACCTGTTGGATTGATGTCTTGCTGTGTATACAGCCTTCACAGATGCTTACTCTTAAAGCGGAGCTGATGTCGCAGATAAGGCAGCTCAGACTCCTGACCTCCACCACCATGTCCAGTGTATCCCACTACGCCCTCGAGGGTTTGTCTTGTCTCCTGCGTTCTCTCTGTTATGCATTACCTTACATTCCACTCTAGTTAGACGCCTTGAGGACATCCAGCACACATCCGAACGGCACCGCTCAGATATCAAGATAAAGATAGAAATAGGCAACCGGAAGCTGGAAATCGGTGAACCCGAGGAGGATGAATCGACCGCGCGGAATGACACTTTTACTTTGTGAGTGTTCGTGCTTCTTTTACGACCCGTTGTTCACTGCCATTACAGTTCATCGTTGAACGAACCTTCCATTCTCAAAATTCGTGTCATCGAAAACTCTAAGTGGCGCAGTTCCTGCATCGCTTCCGTTGACCTTGCGCTTATGGATGTACTGAGCAATTATGCTGACGGCGAGAGTATGTTCCAACAGCAGTCTTCTAGTCTTCAAGCTGATTGTACATATTTATAGACCCACTTGGCCTATTTGGATCATCTGGATCGTCTCAGGTTCCTGTTGGCAGAGTTTTCCTGTATGTTAGAGAAATAGACGAAGCGAGCCGGGCCAAGATCGATGTCAAGTGTGTAGAACAAGATATCAAGCGGATTCAGCGATCCGCAGGTGCTGCAGATCCTGCTGATATGCTTGGATCGGTTGTCAAGGTGGTGGATAAAATTGTGGAATCAATTGATGATATTGTCGGAGATGTACGTCACCACCTCTAGCTCACATGGGTTGCCTTTGATGCTCCATCAGATTCATCCGTACCTCAAAATCGTTTGGACAGCGACTACGGCTTTATACAAGGTCTGTTCATGCACATCTCATCGCCAGCAACTACATTTATGTCCGGCCTATGCACTTAAATTATTTCCCATCAATGGAAGACCGACAAGAAGCTTGTCGACCTCGTTCGTATCATGGAAGGGGCTTATGAATTTGCTCGTGATGCGAAAACTCTTGACGACAGGACCCGAACACTTACGGAAGCGACCGCCAGACTCTTAAGGCATACGATCGAAGTATGTCATTTTGTGAAAGGATATACTACTCGGAAGTTTAGTGGTTCGTTATTCATCTGAGCCAGTCCTGCAGTAGTTAATCGTATCCTCAGAGCGAATACTGAAGATAAACAGCAACAGAAAGATGGACGAATACAAGGAGCGTCTCATTATTCTCCGACAAGGGCTAAACGCAAACGTTGCTATTCATACTGCCTCTACTGCGGAGCGTGTTTCTGTCAAGGTCGGTGATGTGTCTGCCAAGGTACATGGCATGTTCGTCAAGCTCGATAACGTGGCTATCAACGTTGAAGAGACGTTTACAAGGGTTGAAGAAATTGGTTAGAGTCATCGAACATTTACAGTAGCTGGATACGAATCAATCGCTACAGATCTAGACAGAAACTTCAGCTACACAATCAGCGACTTCAAAGGCTTAGAGATCTGCTGGAACCAATCAATCTGGATACCTCCGGCAGCGCTCGATGCTTTTCCAACACATGCACCAAATATTTGGAAAGGGTCAAGAGCTGGCTGTTATCTCCTATGACGGACAAGAATATTCTCTGGCTTAACGGTATCGCAGGATCCGGAAAGAGTACCATCGCTGCTTCCATAATGGACTACTGCGACTCAACGTCGCGACTTGCTGCATTCGTATTCTTCGTACGGGCGAAGAATGAGTATGGTTCCATTATTCGGACTATTGCCTATCAGTTAGCAGAGTTCAATCCAGACCTTTCGTCATGCATTACTACCGCTGCGGAGAAGCTGAGGGACATTACCGGTTCTACATTCATGACGCAGTTTAAGACACTCCTTTCAGTACCTCTCATGGCATCTATGGGTGTCATCAATGGTGGACTCGACGAATGCGGGACGATAGAGCAACGGCGCGAGATATTAGAGCTGCTAGAAGCCGACTTCGCACAACTGCTATTGACATTTCGCTTTTTCGTCACGAGTCGACCAGAAAATGATATCATGCAGTCTTTGTCGAAACGGTCACATATTCTCGAGATCAAACTCGAGCCTACTTCAATCGAAAGTCGGAACGATGTACGCGCCTATATCAATGATGCGATGCACAAGGCAGTTGCAGACCCAATACCAGACATGTCCGCGTGGGCTAGTAAGATGGATATACTTAGTTGTGTTGCTGACGGACTTTTTATCTGGGCCTCGACCGCGATGAAGGTCGTCTCTAATAGCGATGACACATTTCGAAAGCTTGATGAACTCGTGTGCAATATTCGTTCACTCAATGGTCTCGACAATTTGTATGCCACTGTGCTTGAGCAGTCAGGCATCTCGTGGCAGGATCCGAAGTCAGTTGAACAATTCAGGAAGGTCCTTGCGCTGATTTTTTTTGGAAAAGAGGTTCGTTGATGCTATCAGAGGGAAGCATATCCTTGCGGCCAGATGCTTCGTCGTCATTATGCAGCTTTTGCGTTTCAACATTTGTGAACTGGAGTCTTCATTCCTCAGAAACGAAGATATTCCTGATCTCAAGGATCGAATGCGAAGAATATTCCATCACACCTTTCATACGCCTGCCGGTTCTGGGCAGAGCATCTTCGTGATGTTCCGTACTCTCCGGACTTGGCGAGTAACTTGCCTTCTTTTACGCACAAATGTCTTCCGTACTGGCTTGAGGTTCTCAGTCTGACGAAACACTTCAATGGATTTGCGAGTGAAGCACTCATCGACACTATTTTATGGACTACAGTAAGTATTTAAAACATATCCATACCAATTAGTCAACTTCTTCTCCATACCAATCTCACAGAGCACACCTCACATCTATGTCTCTATGATGTCTCTCTCGAAGGATGAATTTACTGTGTCCAGATACTACTCAGAGAGCCATCCTACTTTTGTTACACATTGAACAGGGAGGAAACCACCAACTTCATGTCTTAAAATTTTACAAGGCCATGAAGCAGTTGTTTACTCAGTTGCTTTCTCGTCCAACGGGAAAAGGGTCGTTTTTGGTGCTTATGATTGCACCATTCGGGTGTGGGACATTGAAAGCAGAGAGATCGTTGTGGGCCTGCTTGAAGGGCATAACAAGTGGGTCCACTCAGTTGCATTTTTGCTTGACGGGATGCATATTGTCTCTGGTTTGGGTGATTGCACGATTTGTGTTTGGGATTCTAAAAGCAGGGAGGTTGTTGCAGGCCCGTTCAGAGGACACAGCGGAATGGTATACACGATTGCTTTTTTGCCCAACAGGAACCATGTAGTCTCTGGTTCCAGTGATTGCACTATTCGGGTATGGGACGTTGAAAATGGGTAGGTCATTGCAGGCCCGATGAAAGGCCATAATGGACTGATTAGCTCTGTTGCTTTCTCCCCAGACAGGAGACAAATAGTTTCTGCTTTCAGTGATCACACAATTCGAATTTGGAATGCTGAAAGCGGGGAAGCCGTCTCAGGTCCATTCGAAGGCCATACAGAATGGGTAAACTCTATTGCATTTTCACCTGACAGAAAGAGCATCATCTCTAGCTCCAGCGACCATACAGTTCGGGTCTGGGACATTAAACGTGGGACTGCTACAGGCTTGTTTGAAGGGCATGATGACTGGGTTAACTCTGTTGCATTTTCACCTGACGGAAAGCAAGTTGTCTCTGGCTCAGACAATTGCACGATTCGAGTTTGGGATACTAAAAGTGGGGAAGTTGTTTCTGGTCCATTTGAAGGACACAACAGACACGTCCGTTCAGTAGCATTCTTGCCTGACAGGAAGCACGTTATGTCAGGGTCTGCCAACCACTCAATTCGGATTTGGGATGCTGAATGCAGGGAAGTCTTTGTGGGCTTACTCAAAGGACTCAACCATTGAATCAATCCAGTTGCTTTCTACAGGAAGTATGTTGTTTGTGGTCCTACTAATGGTGTAATCTGTGTTTTGTTAGGACACAAACATTTATTAGTATATATAGTGTGAACCAGGTGTTAAGCCAAGCTTGACATTACACCCTTTTAGTAAAGAGGTTCTATGTATAGTCCACTATATATAGTAATCCCTCACATAATGTTAAGCTTAGAGTAGTCAGGGGTTTGATCCTAATGTAGGGTTGTCTGTGAGCAAAAGTATTAGGCTGAGAATAAACTTCCTAAAAGGGGGGGAGTGAATTTCTCAGTTGCTTAGAATACTAGGGCCAGGACTCTATATTAGGATATCTCTCCCTACCTCTAAAGACTGTCAAGGTTAAGCTAGAAATAGTAACCCTTAGGGTCAAACTCTATATACTAGTTATGTAAGAATACATGACTCTAGAGAGGAGAGTAATGTTAGGACACAAACATTTATCAGTATATATAGTGTGGACCAGGTATTAAGCTAAGCTTGACATTACACCCTTTTGGTGAAGAGGTTCTATGTATGGTCTACTATATATAGTAATCCCTCACATGTTTAGGATGCTGAAAAAGACAAAGTTGTTACTGGCCCATTTGTAGGTGGTCATAGATAGGCCCTTTCTGTTGTATTCTCACCTGACAGGAAGTGTATTGTCTCTAACTCTACTTACTACTACTTGCATAATTTCTTAGAATGGCAATATATCACATGATTTGTGTTACAAGATGTTCACTTTAACTAAAACTCAAAAGATTTGTAGATTACTCCTTACAAGTGTTATTTTATATGTATGTAAAGTATTTAAAAATTATATTTTTACTGTTATAGTATATATCTGTAAAAAAATAGAGATAAAATAAATACTTGGAATTATATAAGGAGAACTGTACTTTTTTGATGATTCTCATAATACCTTTTCTAAACATGTAAAAGCTGTAGCATTTGCAATTGGTCACCAAAAATTATAATTAAGTACTGTAAATTACTATTATTACTTGTAGAATGTTATACTATTATATTATAAGAATTGGTGGGCTATTTGAACTAATATTTTACAAGTTTGAGAATGGAACAGTAAGAATAACAATTATTTCAGACATAATAATTCTACAGTACATACTATTAACTGTTATAAATTATGTACAGAGTCTTAAAATTATTGTTATTATATTTGGGATCTCTTATTATAATATTATTAGGATTGGTGGGCTGGTTATTTTAATTATTTACATTTATATAAGACAAGTCTTAGACTTATATGTTATTATTTGTATTATCACATTCTGAAATTGCACATAGTCAAATGTTATTCATTCCAAGAAGTTATAGGCATTCAAACATTCAGGACACAAGAAAGCAAATCTATTTCTAATCATTTACCAATAGACTGTACCTTTAGTA